CAGTTTTAGTGGGTATTAGAAATAAGGCTCTTTTCAAAAGAGAATTTTTAGTTACTACAAATTAACTGGACTCATGAGGGGAGTTTATGACTCAAATATAATTTCATGATATAGACTTTGTTTACAAGGTGAGTTTTCCTAAAACCTAAACCCCTTCCCCTTTTAGGTTTACAAATTTTCTCTCAACTAATTAAATGACATTTCTTACCACCCAAAAACTCCAAAATGAACTTTTTATAGATATTATATATTTCTTTACAAACAAATTTAGGAAAGAGTATAGATTGTATAAAATAGGTAGGAATGCTCATAATGAAAGACTAAGCAAAAGTGATCTTATCAGCCATAAAGAGAGTTCATTTTTTAGAGAAAAAGTTTTTTCCTAATCTTATCAACTAAGAAAGAAAAATCTTGCTTATTAGGTTTGAGGTGGCTAATTGGGATACCTAAGTACTTACCAAATTGGGAGAGTAATCTAAGGCTAATGTCTTTTTATAAAACAAAATCACAGTTATTAGAAAAAAATAGAAAAGATTTATTTTTGTTAATAGATAGAGCAGATACAAAGCAGAACTCAAATAGGATAAAACTAATCATCATAGTGTTGTACATATTTGCTTTAGCAATTAAAATTATATCATCAACAATTAAAATTTTAGGCCTTTTATTATTGAAAGAGAAGGGATTTTAATTCTCATTATTTATTTTATCTTGAATTACGTGAGATAGTCTTTCTAAATAAAGAATAAAGATATAAGGGGAGATAGGGTCTCCCTGCCTAATTCCCCTATTAGGGTTAAAATTTTTAATTATATTATTATTCCAAATAATAAACATGGAAGGGGAGGGCACACATTGATAAATAAGTTCATTTATATTAGGATTAAATGAAAGATTCAGATCGAGTATAAGAGTTTTTAGACTTACACCAATATGAAAATATTCTTCATATATATATATATATATATATATATATTCTATTTTCTTTATTTTTATATAAATTTCCAAAGCAAACAAATACAGTAAAAATAAGGTAACATTTTTATAATTAAAAATAAATATAAGAAATAAAAAAAATTGTAACCAAACACACGTCAAACATTTTGTAATTATATTATTTTCACTCTATCGGTAAGTTGAAGCACCAGCAAAATAAGGAAGAAGAAGGAATAACGCCAATAGCACAGGGATTATGAAAGCCCGAACAGGGAAAGAAAGAGTGTAAAACTTGTTAAATGGGCTTTATGGGCTTTTTTATTCATACATAATATTCCTAGATGGGCAAGTCTATTGGTAAACAAAAAAATCAAGAAAATAGAGAACCTCGTTGGTCAAGGGACATAGATAGGGGTTTGAGTTTTAGGTGTAAGGTTTAAATACTACAAGGTTTGGGAAAGTGAAAATTTTATTTTATTTAAATTATGTATTTTTTTTAACAACATAATATTATGTTATTATTCGGCATATAAAAATTTTGAATCTGTAACTTTAACTTGTAAAGATTTGTGTGTGTAAATAATAAAATAATTATTTATAATCAAATCAATAAGCCTTATAAAAAATTAAATAAACCCCGCGTAATTATGAACCCTTGCTCAACAACTTAATTAAATTTTTTGTCTAAAAAATTTAATTAATAAGTATAATCAATATATATGGGGCTTGTATCAAGCTTATGGGGTGGGTGGGGGAGCAAACAATTGACTTTTTCTTTCTTTTTTTTTTTTTTTGGTATTTTTAATTCAATAGAATACATTTTAACAAGCATCACAGAGAGATTTAGGAACAAAATGAAAAAGTAGTGTTGGCCAAAACAACAATGATATTTTACAAAACCAAAAACAGAAAACAAGAAAGAGACTTTGAAAAGGCGTTCAAGATTTGGGAGAACATTAGATTCGTCTGGACAATTTATTTAAAATTAGTTTTTAGCGAACTGTCTTTGGCTCTCTGTAATATTGTGATTTTAGTAGAAAAATTGAGTTTTGTAGTTGTTTATTTTTCTGGTCAAAATATAGTCACTTAATTGCTACTAGTTTAGACACACTAAAACCCAATTGTTTGGTATAATTATTAACGGTGGACCTCTAGAATTACCATTTTAACATCAATGCAAAATTTGAATTAGAGGTCATTCTATTCAAGTAAATCATGACAGTGGAAAACTATCCTTAACCTCGTCAAACAAGGGAAACAACGACTGCCAAATTGATATTGGGTCAAATGAAATTATTCACCTCAATCCATTTTTTAATAGCTTTAACGTTTCTAGGTTTTTCAGTTTTTTTGGGTCATATATTATTCACCTTATAATATCCTTCACCTCAAACGCTTGCACCCTTTGAACGAATTATTGTGCAAACGTTTTATTATTTTATATTATTTCTGAAGTGTTCAAACATCCACCAATAGGATTCAGCCAACCATATGTATCTTCGTACAAAGAAATCTGCGAATAGCTGAAGACTAATCCTAACACACTGTTGGAACTGTTATAAATCAGAAAGGAAATCCTGTTTAATACCAAAATTTTGGTGAAAACTTGCAATTTAAAGCAATTTTAGTACAATATTTTATACCTTCTATCTCATGTATGGTAATGGAGGAAATTCATTTTTTAAATTCATCAATTTTTGTAACAAAGCCTTCTAGCATGTTTGGTTTTGCACATTCAAACGTTTGTTTCATTTCAACACTACAACTTATGGCTTTTATGTTGAAATGTAATTTAACGTGATTTTATTATATTTTCAAATATGCATCACACCCAGTGTATCTGATCAAAGTGAGTTCTTAAAAAAACTTATTATTTCTATGAGTAAATGGGAAAAGGTTTTAAGACTTTATACATCTCTTACACCATTCATCATATATAATTTAGGCTATATTAATAGGTTAGTTTCTTAATTTTTAATTTTATTTCGATTTGTTCTTCTAATTTTTTATTTCATTTTAATTCTCTAATATTTAAAATATTTTAAATAAGTCTTTATATAATATATATATATATATATGTGTGTGTTAATTATATTGTAAACTTTTTATCTTTTTTCATGCAAAATTTTTTCTTTCTGTTCTTCCTTTTCTCTTTCTTTTTCTTCCTTCTCGTATTACCCATCTACGACTTCATAATTCATTTTGTCCAATTTAAACTATGAATAACGCATTGCGCATTTTAATAAGTTTTGTGTCTTGAAAAATGACGAGACTATGATAGCAACGTTGAGGCTATAGAAGAAGGCAATAGTAATGTTATTGATGCAATTATAGAAAATGAGTTAAGTATAAAGATTATGGTAGTTCACAACAAAAGTGACTATAATAAATGAAGATAGTGTATATATGTGGAAGGAAAGGGAAAATGAAAGAGGAAATTGAAGAGAAATGTGTAGAAATATACATGCAATAACAAAAGAAGTGGAAGACAAGAAGAAGAAGTGAAGAAATAGGTAGAAGAAAAATAATTATATATATATATATATATATATATTATAGAAAATAAGTTATGTAAAATAATTTTTAAAGTTAAAAGATTAAAATGAAATAAAATATTAAAGGATCAAATCAAAAAAAATTGAAAGTTAAGAAATTAACATACTAATTTAGTTTATAATTTTTAGTATTTAAAGAATTCAAATTAAAAATATTTATTAAAATGAATAGAAGTATACTCATTCATATAATTTTTAATACATCCTAGCATAATTTTGAATAAAAAATTATTTATTATTGGTTAACAAATTCATAAAATGCATGTCTTTTTAATCAGTTGTAAAAAACTAATTAAAAATAAAAATTTTAAAGTATTGAGATTAAATTAAAAATGAAAAGAAGTATAAGAATCGAATTTATAATTAGATTTATAAATTATTTAAAATTTGTACTGAATTGAAAAAACCAGTGTATTATTTCTATGGATAAGTTTTTGTTTTTGTTTTTTTTAATACATTTCATATACTGAGTTCATCCATAAACTATAATTAAAAGAATGCTGCTGAATACAAGAAACTAATAGTACAAATTCATTACAACCATATGTTAAAATTTTATTAGATAAATATAAAACTAAAAATCTGAGTTTTCTGTATACAATTTTATTGCAATTAATAAGTACTACAAAGCAATTCTCTTATAATCAATAACATATATGGATTAGCTAACGAACTCATAAGCTAATTTTTTGTCGTCAAAGGAAACAAAATATTATTAAAAAAATATATAACATCTAAATGTACTTATACGATTTATTTATGTCACGTTGATATTTTTAGTTCGTGTCTTAATTTTTTCAACACAACTGAACCATAATATGTAGTGAATAAAGTATCTAAACAATCTGATTTCTTTTTATCCTTAGTAAAGATGTAAGATCGGTTAGTTACATTTCATTAAAAAAATATGTTAGGTATGGAAAAGTTAAAAGCTTTAGTTCTAATTCTTAGAAGAAAAATATAGGGTGGGTAACGTTTAGTGAATGGTGACCAAATTGCTCTTGCTGCACTGTCACTGGAATTGTAATATTTTGCTTCCTTTTTTCCATGGTAGAAATATATAGGATGTGATAAAGCCTTACAAAAATGGAAGCAGATATTTTGGTACCCGCCAATGTTTGGGAATAATTGTACGGTTGCAACATGTAACTAAGTTGAGCGATGAAGACCTCGGCAAGGCATGCATGAATGATGGAAAGGGAACAGATAAAAATGCATGGGAGAGCTGAGAAAATAACCCTCACCCTGTTTTAACTCACGAGGGCACGTAATTGACGCAAGATCATAAACGTGAGACGCGTAATGTTTATAAGCAATGAAAGAGAGAGAAAGAGAGTTTGTGTGTATGTGTGTCTATGTGTAAACAACGTTAAAGAATACTTCACGGGAAAGCAACCTATAGCATTTATTACGCATTAGTTTTTTGTTTTCTGAGGACTCTTAGTCTTACTTTGGCTTCTATAAATACAGCACACTTTGATTCGCGTGGGTGAAAATAACTAACTAGCTGAGAAAGTACCAAACTCTCAACCATTCTTATCTAAAACCAAACTATGTCTCATATAGCTGTCGAGAGGAACAGGAGAAGACAGATGAATGAACATCTCAAAGTGTTGAGGTCGTTGACTCCATGTTTCTACATCAAAAGGGTATTTTCTCCTCCCTATATGTACATATATTTTTATTTTCTTATTCCTCGTTGTAATCTCTGTATGTGTGTATTTGATTCATCGTTTCTTGTATCTTTTTATGTTTTTTACCTTTAGGGAGACCAAGCATCTATAATAGGGGGAGTTATAGAATTCATCAAGGAGTTACACCAAGTACTTCAGGCTTTGGAGTCCCAGAAAAGAAGAAAGAGTTTAAGCCCTAGCCCTGGCCCGAGCCCAAGAACACTGCAGCCAACATTTCATCAACTCGATAGTTCCTCCTTAATTGGGACTAATTCATTCAAGGAACTAGGAGCAAGCTGCAACTCTTCTGTTGCGGATGTAGAAGTGAAAATATCGGGTTCAAACGTGATTTTGAAAGTGATTTCCCACAGAATTCCGGGTCAAGTTGCAAGGATTATAGCTGTTTTGGAAAGTCTTTCATTTGAAGTCCTTCATCTGAACATCAGTAGCATGGAGGAGACTGTCTTATACCAATTTGTGGTCAAGGTAAAACGCAGCTATATTCTTGTGTAATTGTTCTATAAAGTTATATCTAAGATTAATGCCACTGGCTTTTATTTGATTTTTACAATTATATATTTCTATTATTACACACACAAGAATAATCAAGAAAGGTAACATTGAGATTCCCAAATATTGTGACCTAAACATTCTCGTAACTGTAGGGTTTCAAACCATTCCGAAGAATCAAATGCATAAACACAGTGTAATTTCTAAGAAATAGTAGATCTTACACCATTTTCTACATCTAAAGACAAACGCACAAAGTTACAGTCAAATTAAGGATACAAAAGATGTTATTAAGATGAACTGATAGACGTTAGCTTAATTGCTTTTTTTTATTATTTTGATCAACCACATTGTCCTTACGCCCCCTTTTACTAATGTGATCCAATTTCTAACTAAATGAACCAATGAAAGGACCTGCATCCTTACTAAAAATATTCTATGCGCTTCTTTCTTCACTCTCTGTAATTATTTTATGGAAAACAAAATTATTGGAATGGCCTGGAATGGGTAGCAAGTGCAGTGCAGGGATTTTTTTGTTATTATATTTTTTCTCTTATTTTGTTTATCACCTTCCCACCGTCTTTTGTGGTAATTCACACAATTTCGTGCAATCTATCACATAGCATTCCTTTTAATGAAAATCTTATTGTAATGCTTTGTCCAACATTTATGTTAATTTCCGACCTGAATTCCTTAAAATGTATAGCTTGCATCACCGCGTGACCATGAAGTTCACAGGTAAACCTTCAATAGTAACTTTCTGGGATTATGTGTCAATGATATAAAAATGAACAAGGGAATAATACCACTGGTCGTGTTACTACAATGATCAAGAGAACAAACGACAAAACCGAGTAAAAGTTAACGTAAGAAAAATTGAGAAACTTCTTAAGTTCTCAGCAGATAAACATTTGATATATAGTTGTTATCAAATAGAGTTGCCTTTACTTTTGCTTTGTATTTGATTTTAAGAAAGTGAGTATAATTTACAATATTTTGCTTTAGGATCTTATTATATTCTTTATCTCAGACCTTTTGATTTGATTCCTTTTACTACTACAGATAGAGCTGGGATGTCAACTAAGTCTGGAGGAACTAGCGATGGAAGTACAACAAAGCTTCTGCTCAGAGGCTATAACTGTGCTGTGAAGATATAGCATTTTAGAAGAGACTCAATTTCTAATCGTTTATCAATAAAGTATAAGTATGTGTGAGAGACACGCAGAAAAACCATTTCTTACGGTCGCTACAAATTAGGGTTATCATATTTGCTGTCATAAACTTTATGGCATGAAAAATACCCTATCTAGTATTTGGTATTAATATCCATGCATCTTGTCTGTGAACTAAAGGGTTCTAAATACTTATTCATGGATGCGAATAGAAGGCAAGTTGATTATGCATGTTGGTTTAAAATTATTTTATAGCTATGTATAAGTTTATATATAGGAGGATTGCTAGTTAGCAACACACTCTTAGCAACTAGTTAAAAATTATTAAAAATTATAAAGCATGAGAGAAAAACAATAAATGAAAAATGAAAAAAAAATCAAAATTTACATAATATTTGTAACTTCTAACAAATTTTAGCAAGTAGTTAAAAGTATGTTTAAAAAATGTGTTAAAAAGTATGTTGATAATTCTATATGTCAAACTTAAATACTTATGCACACCACTTAATAATGTTTTATAAAATATTAGATTAATCAATCTAATTTGAATATTTTTATCAAATAGATCAACTTTAAAAAATTTTATAAAAAAAATAAAATTATTAAACACTTCATAACATTACTTTATTTAAATAAGTAATATTTTTTAAAATATAAGTAAATATCGAATTTTAAAATACATATTTACAAATGTTCAATTATGTAAAATTTGATATATATGTTAAGAAAATAATATAAAATTATTTAATAATTATATTATTTAATTTTAAAATTTATAAAAAATTATTAAGTAGTTTAACGCGTATTATTAACAAATCTTGACTCATATAACAAAACTCAACATATCAATATTAAAAGTCACGTACACTACCAAAGTGAAACTCTAATTTTTATTGGAGAATAACATTTACAATGCATCTAAATTTTATTTTTATTTCTTACTTTTGAAGACTATGTTCCACCTATAGTTAATTAAGCATCAATTTAGCTGATGGAAAACTTAGTAGAGATTTATCATCCTTTTGTTTTTACATGCTTCGTGACTAAAAGCATGTTTGAATTTGTTAAAATAAAAATAAGAAAAAAAAGTAAAAGATGACACAAATATAAATATTTAGTTATATAAAAAACGGGGAAAAAAAAGTAGGACTGGATTTGATTTAATAAAAATGACGTTCTTTTTATAAAGTTTTTATAATTTATTTTTTCTCTATCTCTCGTTTAAAATGAGGTTTGTGTGTGCACATTTTTAAAAGTGGTTAAAATATCTTATTCTTATTTATTCTCTTACATAAAAAAGAAGGAGTATAGTCATTTTATATATACATTATCATATTTTATTTTATTTTTATATTCTTCCGTATCAAATTGGAAAATAAATATAACAATAGATAAGTTACAACTGATTCCCTTTATAGCAATAGATTCGTCTGAATTTACTTGGTTAGAAAATGTCTAGTGAGAGTCACTTAATTAATTGTCCAATTTACAAGTAATTGGGATTATGTTGAACTTTTTATTTAAGGTTTAGTGTTAAAGTGTTTGTAACTTGAATGTGGTAATTTTGTTGCAAACGAATTAATTGTTTTATTTTTATCACCGGTGATTTTATTCGCTTATGGAAAAGTGACAAGTTTGTGTTGAGAAAATTATACAAGAAAGAAACTCTTAATAAAGATATTTATCAAGAAAATAAAAAAGTATCCATTCTTTTATTTATAAATATTTTTTAAGAGTTTAATTATTTATCCTTTATAAGTTGATCTTTTCACTTGCATAATAAAAAATCTTAATGTGTACCAATTTAAAAATTACATTACATGTCTTGATTTAATTTCGATGTATATAGTTTAATATAATATAGGTTGGAGGTAAATATATATAGTATTAAAAAAATTCGTAATTCAATAGCATGCTGTCTCCTGATAAATCATAATTAATAGTATCTTGAGCTTAAAGATTACGATTATGTGGACTTGTGCCATGTTTAGGTTTTTAAAAAAGGATATATTTAATTTTAAATGATAAAAAGTACAGTGATTTTAATAATGTTTCTAATTACGTATTTTTATTTTCCCAAACAAAATCCGATGTTAGCGAAAACGTTTTACGGTGCAAATGTCTTTAAGTAAATGGGCCAGAAACATATTTAGCGATCCTGATCTACCAATGTTTGGGTCAAGTTCCAGGCCTTAGACAACCTGGATCATATGTTAGTACTTTTTTTCTCTCTTTGTTGAGAAATTTTTTGTTAACCTCTTTTTTCACATGTATGACTTTTTTGGTCAGAAAAAATGGAAGAGAAGTCTTCATCTTATGGTTGAGATTTGTTTTTAATTTTATTGTATTTAGTATTTAAAAGATTGCTAAATAGTGTTTAATATTGAACAAGTGTGCTTAATATTTTAAAGAGTAAATTTTTATAAGCAATTGCTAATTAAAGTTCTTAATTATTGGTTAAGAATTTTAAAAATCAAAATATGTTTATAAAAAAATAGTATTAATATTTTTTGTTTCAACATTATTTTTAATAAAAAATTATTTCTTTAAAATTTTTAAAATACTTTATCAGTGTCTGAAGTTACAAATGCTTTTTACTTTAATCTTTCTTAATATAAAATAAAAATTAAGATAAAACAAAATTTAAAAAAAAAGAAAAAATAATTAATAAAATGTCTTAAAAAATTAAGAAATAAAATATTTTACTAGCATAATTTTAAGGAATTCGTTCATTAAATATGCAATATATTTTTAGCCGCATAATTTAGCTGAAATGATATCAAGCGAGCTTTACCCAGTCTTGCCTCTTAAAAAATTAAGTTAAAGTTGATCAATAAGTTAAAACTGAGATTATTTTCTTAATCCAAACTAAGCTTTCTTCCAATTCGCGAATTGATGAAACTGGATGAGTTCTATACTCAACAAAATTGTGTTTAACTTTTAAATTTTTAATTGAGAACACACAAATTGTTGTTATCATATACAAACACATAACGTTGCGAACCATAAACATTATGCACAATGATATTTGTTCAGCAAAACTTACTCAATTTCTGGTTTCAGTATTAACAATAATTGCTTCGTGTGATCACAACATTATTTTCCAGATTCATTAGTATAGAATAAGCCGGGCTAAGAAAAAAGACAAATTATAGCGTTCACCTGGGTTCCACTGCTCTTTCAAATAATATTTTCAAACTCCCCTCGTGACACCATAGGACCCGCCAAGCAAGGTTTGATAATTTACGAAGAAAAGTGTTATTTTTGTAACTAAAAGAGGTATATTTTTGTTACAATTTAGATAAAGATAAAAGACGGAGAGAGAGTTGACAATTGGATAGGTGGTGTAATGAAAAAAGACAAAAAAGTATTATTCTAAAACTTATTGGAAAAATAATATAAGTTATTTATGAATAATGTATCCCGTCCCATGATATGTTGTGAGCTAGGCATAAGAAAGAAAGAAAAAAGAAGAAGAAGAAAAATACATAATATATATTATTCTAAGAAAAAATAGATAAAAATGAAAAGAATTTCAGTAAGATGTAAGAGAAATAATTGGGACAAAAAATTAGAGTTAGCAAACATATTATGTGGTTAGCTGAAATATGGGAATTCATAAAAATAAAAATGAAATGCTACCAATTAAAGTTTTATGACAACACCAACGCCATCCACAGTGCAATTAGGACCACTACATTAACTACGAATTGTTTGTTTATTGTATTTGATTAAGAAGCAGTAAATCCAGCAGTGGGATTATCTTTTAATCACATCTTAGAAAATTAATAAATAAAAAAGTATTAAAAAAATAAAAAGGTGTACTTATTACCATTCTATACTTGTAGACACCACTCTATTTATATAAAGCGTGTGATCATTTATTTGTAGACATGTTTAATTAATAGTTATTTCAATTTAATTAAAATTGATAATTAATATTGTTTCAACCAAAGAAAAACATATATTTCGAAGTATACAATACCTTTTTTAATATAGCTACGAATTCACGGGATTAAAACTAAACGGTTACACATTTTCAGATTTCTCTTTACAGACAATTTGTTCTATTTGTTTTATATTTTTACTTTTTCTTAAATTCAATTTTTTATTGGTGTGTATACAAACCATGACTACACACTCACCATTTTTTTAGTGTAAAACTAATATGATAAGATGCACAACCTTCAAGCTCATTATAAAAACATATTAACAAAATAAACTAAACACTTACTTTCATTGATATAATATTCATTAAAGAAAAATACGTTCTTAGTTTCAGACTATTGATTTATACTAACAGTATAATATATTAATAATATACATATTTTTTTATATTAAAATATTAGTCTTTTATTTTTAATTTTCAGTAAATAAAAAAACTATATAAACTAAAACAAGGCAATAACTTACTACTATATGATATTATTTAGGTGTCTTGAACATTGTAATTTACCAAAAAAATTATTTCGAGTTTAAATATTAAAATATAACTTTTAAGTAATATTATGTAGATTTAACAATTTAATGGTATAGACCGATTAATTAAATAAAATAAATTTGCGAAGAATGTGAAAAAAAAAAAAAAAGAAGACAAAGTGAGCTAATTATTGGAGAAGGGTTGCCATTTGATAAGGAAGGAAATTTACTATTTATTCAAAAAATACTTAAGATACTTTTTCGTGTTTTGTTTTATTTTCTATTATATTATTTATTTGATCTTACAGTTTTCTCCTTTATTTTTTCTCTCACTTATTTATAAATAAAAAAAAAGAAAAACAAAACATTATCAATATTCAAATATAATGTATCATAAGGAAACAAAATTATTGCCATTAATGTTTTCACAAATTTTAAATTATAAAATAAAAGTTGAGAGAAACAATAATGGAATGCATAATCATTTATTATTCAATAAATACAAGCATAGTGGACAATTTGATGTATACATAACACCATTCAACAACAACAGAAAAA